ATGGCAAAAATGAACAATTTAAAGTTCGAATTAATTGATCATCCACCATATTCGCCTGACTTGGCTCCCAATGACTTCTTCTTATTTCCTCACCTCAAAAAATGGCTTGCCGGGCAAGGACTCACGTCGAATGAAGAAGTCATCGCCGAAACAAGGGTTTTCAGAAATCATATTTTTCTGATGGCTTAAAAAAACTGGAAGCCCGTTTAATAAAATGTATCGACCTTCAAAGAAATTATGTTGAAAAATAAAAAAAATTACTTACGTAAAACTTTTTTTTCCTTCTTTTTGTAAAGACTAACCTCCCCTCCTAACACCAGACGGAAGGAACATAAACTAATAAATACGCAAATAAATTAACAAAATGATTTCAATCATACTCTAAAACAAAGAAAGTATACTCACTGGAGTATACTACTATATATTATATATGTATATATATATATATATATATGAACAATTTGGACAATTGCTTTAGTAAAATTTCCAAGTTAACTGGATTCAGCACAGACATTCAAGTCACCTATAAGAAAGAATTTATAAGTCTCATGTAAGTCAAGTTCTTTGAAATTTAATACGGATATCGTGCGTGAAGTTTGGATAAATAAAAGACGTGGATTTAAATTTGTTAGATTTTAATCAAGTATATTAGGCTCGTATTTATCTGGCATAAAAACCCCAGTCATAAGTAGGGAAAGCCATCTAAATATGAGCAAACACAATCGACAAATGTACAGAGAGTTATGCTACTCGTACTAATTTACAATTAATAATTTATGACAGGTGTGTATAATTGTGTACAATTAATAATTGTGACCCTAGCTAGAATAGTCGGCCCTGTCTGGCTCGCTCTTTCTCTCTCTGTCTCTCTCGCAGCCTCGCTCCTTCGCTGTTGCCCTGGCGAGCATTTGAAATTACGAACCGATACCGATGTTCGCACCGCTTTATTTCAGGACCAATACCTGAGCCGGGTATCGTCATTAGGAGCCCATTGGAAGCGAGAGCGGCTGTGGTAAGAAGAAGAGAGAGAGAATGACGCGTCGGGAGTAGAGAGTAAGCGAGCGCGAGTGACCCTCGGCGATCCGCTCGCGAGAGCGAAGCCGCCGGCGTTGCTCGAGCCGACGCGTGAACGATTAGGGGAGAGAGTTCGAGTCGAGATTTAGAGTTAGACGGATCGTTTGACGGCCGAGCGTGCGCACGTGAAAGAAAACAAATCAGACAAAGAAGCAGAGGACGATTAGCAGATAGCAACAAGGAAAGGACTTGCAACGACTCTAGCATCAAGGAATCCACATCTGAGCCTGCCACGAGCCTGCCTGCAGTCTAGCAGTATTTCTTGCCCGCGGCAGAATTACCAGCAACAATTCCTGCCAGCAATTACCAGCAGCAGTTCCTGCAGCGGCATCAGCGGCGATTCCTGCCAGCAGCCTCACCAGATCAAGTCGTCTCTCTCTCTCTCTCTCTCTTTCTCTCTATATTCACGAGTGCGCAACGCATTGGCGAAGTGATCGCGATCTTCCGCGAACACGGCGAATTCCACAATTATAACGAGTCCCTCCTTTGTACTCTCTCAAATCATCATACCGTGCCCCCGTGCGATTATCCGCACGAGCGCAGGCACGCGGCGTTGAGGACGACGCGTGAACTCGCGGCGTCGCTCTTTATTGTTAAATTCGAGAATAAATATTGTTAACGGTTATCGCGAGTGATTATTGTGTGCACCTTTCATTCCTTTATTCTCAAACCGAAGCTCAAAACGCCAATTTAGTGACGAGGCCCATCGTCATCGTTCAGAGGAGCGAAAGAGCCTCCCTTACCTTCTCCTTTAAAAATAATTTGTGATAGGACGCTTGGGCACGGACCTTTGCATTGCTCGTGGGAATTACCATTCCCCATAACGCGTTAGATTTCAATCATCAGTGTCACAAAATTTCGGCAGTCTCGCTTTGCGTGTGATTGGCCATTCAAACTAAAACTACTCGCTTACCACACGACGCTAATTGCACCTTGTGCGAGAAGGAAGGTCGTCTCCTAGAGCAGCACAGTGCCAACGTCTTGGTCACGGGCACAGCCCGCATTATGCTACCCCTATGAGTAGAGCCGAGTTGCTACTGTTTGAGCTGCCCAAGGTCGGAGAGCTGCAAGGGTTATAGTGCCGAATTTTCTGCCAAGCGTTTATCTGCGCGACAATTGCCGGTTAACCATACCCTTTTTTTATTGCATCGCGCACTCACCGCTGGAACTGACGCACTTGTTCGTATTCTGGGTTTTCCTCATCCGCAAAAACACCCAATTAAGCGACAAAGGACTGCATTTCCGAATAGACTTTCACTTTTACAGCAATCGAAAAAAATTTTATCAATTATTGCTCTCTACTCTCGTGCTACGCACATGGAGCGCAGATGCCGCAAACAATATATATGTGTTTAATAGTAACAACATTTGCTTATTGTCTCAATACGTAAGACAGATCATAAATAAACTTGGAGTAATAAAAAAAATTTTATTTTGTTTTGTCCGATTTTAATCTAATTTGATACTAAATTTTCCTTAATTTTCGTTTTTCTTTCAATTTATCTGAGACTGTTTTAAATTTAGATGTATATAATTTTAAATTATTCGGATATTTTAAAGTTGCTATGTTGGTAGCTATTATTGTTTGTCTTGTTGGACTTTAAGCGGTATTTTACATGTTAGTTTATTATTTAAGCTATATTCCGTATTAATTGTACTTATTATATCATAGTTTATAATAATTAGAGAGTGATCTAAGGTTAAGTCAAGAGACGATTCAGCGATTATATAACTGAAATAAACGCCTTATATAATCGCGAAATTTATTATATCTGGTAGTTTATTAATATCAGAGGGTTAATAGGTTGACCCGCAGATATTGGTATTAGATTTTCTGTTAGCATTATCGAATTGTGAAGAGGCCCTGGCCGAGATAGCCGGCCCTGTCTGACTCGGTCTCTCTCCCGCGACTCGTTCTTTCGCTGTGGCCATGGCGAATGTTATAAAAGCCAAGAACCGTTACCGATGCTCGCAACACTTTATTTCAGGACTAATACCTGTGGCCGGCAACGTTGGTGGGAGCCAATGGGGAGCGAGAACGGCAGCAGCGAGAAAAGAGAGGAGAATATGCATCGCGTAGACGAGAAAAGGAACACGAGCGATTCACCGCGATGCGCTTGTGGGAGCGAAGCCGCCGACGTTAATCAATATAATTAAAGGTTGTTGAGAGTCATTTCTGTGTGCGTCCGTTATTTCCTTTCTTTCGAACTATCAGTCAGTCCGCCAACTTCGAGACAAGGCCCATCATCACCGTTTCAGAGGAGCGAAAGAGCCTCCCTTACCTTCCCCTTTAAATAATTTGTGACACGGCGCTTGGGCACGGGCCCATTGCATGGCTCGTGGGAGTTATTAAAAAAGATAATTCCCCAAAACGCGTTAATAATTTAATGAATAGTGTCACAGTGCTGGAAATAATGTTTACTGGACAAGTTTCCTTGTTTTGCAAACTTTATAACTAGCTACGTGATTTTCTCTGCAATTGGCCTATTTGTAGTCCTCTGTTTTTGCTTGAATAGAACAATTTAAAGTAAAATAATTTGTCGCGTTTTTGACACAGACTAGAGTTCTATTGCAATAATTTTAATGTGTTAGTATACTTGGGATCACATGCATTGGGAAATATCTCTTTCTTGACGCGGTTCTTCGAATATAATTATTTGATTCATACATTTTTTAATTTTGTATATTTCTTTGTTATTTGCATTTGTTTTTATTTCCACGACAAAAATTGACAATGGCTACTTAGTTATTCTATGTTCATTGCTAGAAATTCTTATTATTTTCTGATTATAGAAATCAATTCCTTGTTTTAAATCATTTATATCAACTAAAGAATGTGTATTTTTAAAAACGACTTTTAATGGTCTATTTCCTTTTTTTGGAAAGTATAAAAATCAATATTTCTATTTTTAGCTCAGCTATAATCACAGCAAATTATTTCGAATTATCAATTTGAATTTTGTTATTATTTAGAATTTTTATTAAGTAATCATTTTTCGCTATTTCGTCAAGATGTTCTAGAAACTAATATTTTATATTTTTATATTACTCGGCATAGCTGGGTTTCGATTATTATTAAAGATATTACTTACTGGGGTCGGCGGGAGGGGCCGCAACAAAATTAAATTTTGTTGTTGTAGTAGGCTAGATCAAGCCAGCGAATATTGAATATTGGAACCGGAGCGTATGACCGTTTATTCGAACAGAGAGCAGTGACTAGCAACCTGACGTGAGCGATTTCGATAGGAGAGCACCAAAACAGTAGTAACCAGGAGGCCGTTGTCATATCGCAAAGGTCGGTGCCGATGTTTCTCCTTTCTCCTCTCTCTCCCTCTCTCCCTCTCTAGATGTTACGGCGTTGTGTTCATGTGTATATGACCGAGCAATTTTACTTCAAATTTCAAAAAAAAATTACCGAGTACTTTGCTGGTAATCATATTAATGCGTTTGGGCGAATTAGGGTTACCGCCGAAATTCTAATTCATTATTAGATTTTGTATGCGCACATTTCTTTTTATTGTTTACTTTTTTCTTGTTTTAGTTTTGTAATAAAGGTAAGTATTATTTAATTAAGCGTCATCGTATTTCGCCTATTACTAATCCTCATCCCAACATTAGTTTCGTGCATGATTAATCTACACATCTGGTATATTACGCAGCCATCGAAGCGTATGCGCTTTCTAAACCCACCCTCTTTGTAAATAATTTGTGCAGGTTGCTGCAGATATAACCCTTCAGGTTGTCGGTCGTATTTTTCTATTACAACATATATATTTCAGTTTGCAAACCTTTAAAAATTTTTTAATTTGAAAAACTTTTCTAACAATATATACGGTATGAAAAAATACTCTCTGAATTATATATAAATACATTATACAAAAAAAAATGATAACAAAATATTTTACATGATGAGGGTTCGAACTCACGTGCTTTAATGGTGTGTTTTCCGAATAAGTTTACTCCTTTCTTTAATCAGCATTTCACTGTAACAATGAGAACAAATAAAAATCCTTTTAATTAAGAATTACATTCAACAATTTTTTACATAATAAAAAATAGCGGTAGGGAGTAGTATGATAGTAAACACAGATTAGTCGTGAAACTGAGGCAGTCTATGACTTTGATGTACGTCAGGTCGCGATAGCAACCTGCGGTATAAATTTACCAGAGGCGCTGTTTTACGTAACATTGTATATAAAGCATGCGTGTAATTAGCAATGCATAGATGTAACTTCATTATTTACATGCATATTAAATTCATGTTAAATTTGCCGGAAAAAATTCTCTGTGTCTATTTATTATAAACTTAATAAAATTTATGAAATTCTAGTCGTTCAATTACAAATTTATGTTTTTTAATCTTTTTTATATTTATAAGATAGTCTAAATATTTTTCTTTCTTTTTTCACCTATGCCATCTTACATATCAGATCAGATGACAAATATACACATTATTATTACTCTCTTTCTTTCTTTCTTTGCACAATGATTTTGATTTTGATCTTCATTGAGGGTTCGAACTACAATTTTGGAAGTAAATATATTCTGATTATTCCTTATACATGGTATCTCACACTTTCTATCCTCCATCTTCTATGACTGATTCATTCATTTATAGTCTACAGGAAGTGTACAATAGTTTTGATGATCTTACTGAGATTAACACTTTCTACCTTTTCTCGTAGACCTCGTAGATGTCTTGTTGACCTGATGATCTAAGGAGAAAGTGCAATATTTTCGATAATTAGTCCATTTATTCTGATATATGAATGGCTATTCATTGTGGTACATAACTTTGATATATCACATAACACAAGTCGAGAGGGATTGACGGAAAGTTTAGATTTTTCAATTAATTTCTCTAGAAACTATTTCGGAGAAAAGAAAGTTTATTCACTTCACTTCTTTTATTATAAACGTCAGGTGATAATACTATTCGCCAGTGAATTTGCAACGTGTACGCTCTAGTCTCTATCTGTCTTTGATTCTTGTTCCCAAAGAAGAAGACTCCTCCCAAAAAACTTCACGGTTTCCTAACAGTCCAATAGTGAAGAAAATAAATCGCTCATTGCCGCAACAATTAATGTGATCGACCAACGGCTAATAACTCGGCTCTCTACACTGTAAAATAAGCCACGAGAAAATATGACTTCCCATTTAATATAACGACTCTCACGAAGGTAAAGAGAGCAAGTTTATAAATTAAAGAGAGTAATTAGGTAGGAGACGGAGAAAAACGAGAGAAGGCGAGAGAGAGAAGTACGAGGGTGGTCCGATAAGTACTTAGCCTCACCGCCCGATGGCGCCACTCTCGCAAAAGAAATATTCTATCACGTAGTACAACCTTCTCGATGGTTACTGTCAAGATTTCAGCCGGATCGGAGTTGTAGTTTATTTTTGGGATCGTGTGAAAGCAAGTGTGTCCGTTGATTTTTGAAAAATGGAAAAAGAGCAGTATCGGTCGGTGATTCGATTCTTGTTTTTGGAAGGGAAATCGCGCAGCGAAATCAAAAAGCGCTTGGATGCTATGTACGGTGACTCTTGTCCTTCATGGGGACCGTCAAAAATTGGTTTAACGAGTTTCAACGTGGTCGCACGTCGATTTTTGAAGAGCCACATCCAGGTGCTCCGAAAACGGCTACCACGGAGGATAACGTGACAAAAATTCACGATCTCGTATTGGCAGATCGACGATTGAAGGTGGGCGAGATAGCTAAGATCGTAGGCATCTCAAAATACCCTGTGGGTCATGTCCTGCATGAAATTTTGGGCATGAGAAAGCTGTCGGCGCGAAGGGTGCCGCGTTTGCTCACTCCGGACAACAAGCGCAACCGTGAGACAACTTCAGAGCAATGTCTGACGCTGTTTAAGCGCAATTCGAAGGAGTTTCTGCGTCGTTTCATGACAGTCGACGAAATATGGATCCACTGGTATACACCAGAGACCAAGAAATAGTCGAAACAGTGGACTTTACCCGGCGAAAGTGCTCCGAAGAAGGCGAAGACTGCCCCATCGGCCGAAAAGGTGATGGCCACCGTTTTCTGGGATTCACAAGGCGTGATCTACATCGACTATCTGGAGATGGGCAAAACGGTCACAGGGCTGTACTATGCCGAATTATTGGGCCGATTCGACGTCGAATTGAAGAAAAAACGGCCCCATTTGGCGAAGAAAAAAGTGGTCTTTTCCCATGACAACGCACCGGCTCACACCTCCGCCGTCGCCATGGCCAAATTGGTCGAATTAGGCTAAGAACTGCTGCCCCATCCACCGTTTCTCCAGATTAAGCCCCATGCAACTTCTTTTTGTTTCCAAACTTGAAAAAGTCACTCGCCGGGCAGAAATTTGAGTCGAATGAGAAGGTAATCGCTGCCACGGAAGCCTACTTTTCAGACCTCGAGGAAACGTATTTTTCAGACGGGTTAAAGAAGTTGGAGCATCGCTGGGCCAAGTGTATCGAACTAAAAGGAGACTATGTTGAAAAATAAAATGCCACTTTTCCAAAATTTTCGTTTTTCTTTTGTATGCTAAGTACTTATCGGACCACCCTCGTATCACTTTTGTATTTTTATACAATATGAATAGATCATTATAATACATTACGACACAAGTGCAGGAAAGTAGATTTTGGTTTCGTGTAGGATTTACGTCCAAGCGAAGCCAAGATAGAAAATCACACGAGACGAGAATCTCTGTTCTGAATATGTATCGCATGATATTTTTTGATATGTGGTGTGAAAATTTAATTTTGAGCGTATGTTTTTAGTTGAGCGTACGGGAAAGTCACACAGAATGTCGAAAAATATAAAAATATATTGTATTTATCTTTGGAAAAATAGAAAAATTTCATATGCTATAAACAAAAAGTTTTAGAAAAATAATAAATTAAATTTTACAAGCACAATAATATTAACAAATTAATTAGATTACTTTTTCTTACTGTTGAAAAGACAATCGAAAAATTATTGTATGAAATGGAACATTATGTAGCAATAGCAAGCATCACTTCTAAATAGAGTGCTGCCAAATTTTAGCCAGATCCATCAAGTGGTTCCATTTTTATCGTTGATTAAAGTGAACAAGTTTTGATTACTGTTAACAATGAAAAAAAAGTGAATTTCGAACGGTGATAAAACATTTTTATTTAAAAGGTGTCATACCGAAAGAAATCAAAGCTCAGTTAGATACAGTTCATGGTGTATCTACCTCTTTGTTTGCAATTATTTACTATTAGCTAAACGAATTTAAACATAGCCTACATTGACTGCGTATTAACATCGTTCAGACCGTCCTGTAGATAAGTACCCTGGAAATGATCGATAAAATCCACGATATGCTGTTTACAGACCAAAGAATAAATTTGCGTGAAATAGTTGAGGTCACAGGGGTTGCAAAAGTTAGTCATTTCTATTTTTTATAAGAAATTATACATGAGGAAAATTTCGGCAAGATGAGTGCCGCGTTTGCTCTTACAGTACAATTGCAATCGAGTGGTGGTCGCTGAGACCCTGTTGGCGCGTATACACCGTAATACGGACGACTTTCTGCGTCAATTCATTCATACGCGCATAAAAATTGGTATTGTGTAGGCATACGCATGATGAGAACAGCGAAAAGTAAAAGAGGTAATGGCAGAGTGACGTGAAGACGTATTAAAAAAGTTTTTATGGTTTTCGGGTCATAAAATATTATTTTCCCAGGATTTTTGAATAACTTGAAAGATCATTATACAACAAGAAAAATCCCTCCCATCACGTTACACACCTTTTACGAAAAGTAAAAACTAGGTGAGTAAGCATTGAAATTTTACTACTGTGTACATATTTGTAACGTCAACTTTAAAGAATCCTTGATTCTAGCTAATCTATAATATTTTACTGTAAGTCATTAGTCTTCATACTCGCATCTGATGGGGATCTGGAAGATTTCTGAGCGTATGGCTAACTTAGATAAATACGACTTCATTTGCTTACAGTTATCTGCTGAAAGAGAATGCCTCAGAAGCAAAAATAAAGATTGTATCGGTGACATGACAATCTTCGAGTTTATTGAATTAATATATGCGTTATATTTACATCAGCGTCCGCGTCTACTTATCATAGTAACCTGCTGCTAATGATCTCACAATACTTACATATTTATCCCACCAGGTTTTCGGTGTGTCACTGTATGCAATGTGAGGAATGAGAGAGAATAAAAAGGTAAAAAAAATACTTACGATGAGGCACTTTTCGTGATTCTCAAGTTTTGCCTCTACTTTTACATTTCTAATCTTGTATGGCTCAATCAGAATGCTTACCTCGCCACGTGAGTCCTCTCTGTCTTTCAAAATGAATCGCTACCATTTAAAACTATTACAATCAGATACTGAATGTGGATTTTTTGCTGACGTTCGCAGTCTTATCCATAAACACTCAGTCACTACTTTTTTTGTCGCATACTATCACGTAAATCTTATAACTTTTTCTTCAGAACCCAGCAATCTTTTCTAGCTTACAATGTTCGTAAGTATCAGTGATCTGCACGAGTGGTTCCTTTCGCTACTCGTGTGACACTGAACTTATGCGTTTGGAGAATTATCTCATTAATAAAGGTATTTTAAAGGGAAAGGTGCGGAAGGCTCTTTCGCTCCACTGCATCAGTGACGATGGGCCTCGTCACGAAGTTGGTGTATAAGATGCTAATTCGAGAGGAAGGGAATGACGGGCGCACACAATAATTACTCTCGATAACCTTCAATCAATTTTATTACTCATTAAGATTCATAATTATAAAGAGAGACAATTCTGATTTACGCGTCGTTCTCTGCGGCCGCGTGCCTTCGCTCGTGCGGAAAAACGCACGGGGACACGGTACAATACGTTGAGAGGAATTCAAAGGAGGGTCTCGCCGTTCTCGCCGCTCTCGCCGTTCTCGCGGATAATCACGAGTACCTCG